TTCAGCCGGGCCCATTCAGGCGGGCCCCTATATCTGAGTTGCTGTGATCAGCCGGGCCCATTCAGGCGGGTCCCTATATCGAGTTGTTGCTGTTCGGCCGGGCCCATTCAGCCGGGCCCTTGAATCGAGTTGATTGCTGATTCAGCCAGGCCCATTCAGGCGGGCCTCTATATTGAGTTGGTTGTTACTAGTTTGGCTGGAGGGTCTACTGAGGTGCTGTCCTCTCCGACCCTATCGAGTTGGGTTATCCCCCTCGTTTCCAGGACATCATTGCTCGGCACAGCAGCTTACCAGGAGCATTCTATATGATTTTGCAGATTGGTCAAGCTGGCTTCTCAACGTGAGACAACCCCTACATGGGGTAAGCTGGTTGAGAAGTTCTGCTATCGACACAATGGGCATCAGAGTTTTGTCATCAGGGCCAATGAGTCTCCCACATCGAGATATACATTGGTGATCACTTATCATGTGAGAAAAGCCGGACAGGGAATAAAGGGAACCACCTACGACCGGATTGGTGACTATATATTCCGCGGGGAGAGTTATTGGAGAGAGCACTGGTTACACGTGGTGTTTCCCCATATCCCCTTTGCACCAGGTGGTGCTCTCTATGACTTTGATCGCTGTAATCCTAAACCGCTGAGCAGACGTGGCAGCAGGGAAAAGAGGCGTTAAGACAGGAGGATCACGAGCGAGGTGGCCAGATCCGGGATACCTATTACCACCTGTCTACAGAGGTCAGAGACGGACGAGTCAGACCAAGGGCCTTGCTGTGTGAGCGACGTTGATTTCGGGGACTATTTTGATTGGGATACTCACAAGGACTGAGCACGCTTGATTTGGAGTAGATCCAGAGCATTTTATGACACTGGCCACTAGAGCGAGACGCAGGCGGAAGGCAGCTCTACGACGGGTTGCTTACCTCCTGGCACGATATTTGCTTGAGGGAGATTGATTTAGGCCATACATGTCAGGAGTACCCAAGTTAGAGGAGGTAGTCGGCCCTTCTAGAGGGAAGGGACCAGTCCCATATCTTGGGGATGGCTACAGTCATTTGGTGGGAGCGGACTTCGTTATACAGGTTTTTCGGAAGCCTCTCTATGGAGCCCGTTTTCTGGAGGTTTCATACGACTACATCTACGCCAAGGGGCGGATCGAGATCTTGATCGGTGCCACTGACAGCATTTCCCTAGCTGAGGAGTTGTACCTTCGGAGCGTTGCGGACGAGGAGATGGCCAGATGTATGGCATACATCAACAAGATTGATCCTACGGCATCTTTCGACATCAGCTATGTGGTCCAAGAGTCTATCACCACTCAGGTTCTCAATGATGAGGACCAGTGTGTACCAGATATGGAGTCCCAGGCAGTCGAGCTCACTCATGAGGGGATACCACTCGTTGTCATTGACTGAGGCTCGTATCTTTTAGTCACTGAGATGTACTATGACATTATTATTATCTATTAGTGACTGCAGCCCCTTCTTTATGGCTGCTTCCTCCATTCTCTTTGTACTACTCTTCAGTCTCGTGTCTCTGGTCATGCTCTTGCAAAGTCTGGTTTCTGGTCTTTTCGTCCTCTCAGTGTCTTTTGACTTATGATGCATGACCTATAATGCATGGAATGTTTATGCATGAGATAACAAGTTATTTATCACTCCTTATCATAATAGGTTACACTCAAGGCTACTTGAAGGACTCCTGGATAATAGGGACTCCGGTGACCTTGAGTCTAACCTTTATACGGGGTCAGGTGCAGGCGATTAAACCGAACGCCTCACTCTAAGCCGTGTCGCCGCTGGCAGGAGGGATAATCCTAACTACTCGACTGTGTGACAAAGGCTGCTCGTGAATGTATTTCTAATTTTCCTACAACTCTCCAAAATCCTGCATGACAGCCTGCCAGTCCACCAACCCACCGCACTCGGCCGGAGGGGGAAGACATTGAACCAGGCCCTGAAACGGTGGGGGCGCCCGGCCTTGCGGCCGCCGATAACCACCTCGCTGACAAACACCTCACCCTTAGGGGCTTTGACTAATGCCGTCCAAGAAGCTAGTGGGTCTGATCTAGACCACTCCTCCTCTAGCTCCTCTAAGGACTCGAACACATTCATCGAACAGAAGCTCGATGGGTCTGAACGTGTTTGCGGGACGACGATGGAGTCAGTAGCGAGATGGTGAGGGTGTGTCCACCACCTCGACCCTAGCAGGAACAACTACTATTCCTACTGGCCCGACGCATTTCCCGGAGCAGTACTAGAACTGCTGGCCACATTGCTACCAACGGGAGCGGAGGATCACGCCTGCCCCATCGTAGGCGGGATCTTTTCGGTCACCTTCTTGTTTTGGCACTTGAACTGGTTATGGCCGTATTGGCCACAACGAATGCAAGGCTGCCACGTGTACCAATCTCTCCACACGTCCTCAGTGAGACCCGCTTTCTCCCATGGAGGAGCATTGGTGTCAACTTGATTCCTTGACCGGGAACCTCCACAATGTCTGCCGGTCACCTTACCTTTCTGTGCTACGACAACGACTACTTCACCCCATGAGGGCCTGAGGCCTCTACGCTGCCAACCTCTGAACCTACTCCCGTCTGGAACTCGTCGTCCAACTCAATGGTAGAACCATCGTTGTCGACGAAAATAATGCGGCCCTTCACCTTCCAGTTGGGAGGCAACGACTTCTTCCTACCATCCGTCGTGGGATTATGTCCATGCCCTATCTTTGCTTCAAGGTCTAGGGCCTTCTTGCTAAATGAGGGAAAGTTGTGCAAGGTGAGTAAGACCTGGGGGTCATAGCGCACCCGAGGAACACAGATCAGATGCTCTACAACATTAGTGGCCTCCCTTACTGACTTAAGCTGCCGAGTATGCAGTGTCAGGACCGCATCAATAGGCTTTTGGGCTTCCTGAGGATCATGCCACCTGTCTTCCACCAACTTGAGGAAGTCATCCAATTTCTGGGTGACCGCCCAAGTGTGACAGTCATGACCGTACCCGTGTAGCTGCACTAAACCACTCAACCATCGTGCTGCACTCCCCTCTAGATAAGAGGCAGCCACAAGCACTTCCTCGTGCGGCAAGGTAAGTTTGCACTTGACATAGACCGGCACTTCCCTCAACCAAGTGTCGAGGTCTTCACCCCTCTTATCCCTGTGAAGGGTTTAGAAGCGGCGATAGCTGTCTTTGGTACCCACTGACTTTGTCCCGGTCCCTGCATCACTCCGGGTTGTGGACCCTGTGGTGCAGGCTGCGGCACTGACTGTTGTTGGGGCTGTGTACCCTGTGGTGCAGGCTGCTGCACTGACTGTTGTTGGGGCTGTGTACCCTGCGGCGGTGCAGGCTGCGAGACAAGAGGCTGCCCGCTTACGGCAACCTGAGACGGAGGTTGGGAAAACATTGTCTGTACAGGAACCTGCAAACTAGGACCTGCTGAGAACCCTCCTGCTAACGACATACCCAGGGAAACGGTCTGGACTGATGCTGGAGCTGTATATGGGGATACCCCAGTCACCGTTGGGACGAAAGGAGGAGGATGTACAATGGGCTAGGCACCCGGCCAGGACGGTGATGGTGTCGCCTGCATTCACCCGACTAACACAGCCAGACTCTGTTGGATGTCCTGTAAGATCTCCATCTGGTGATCTTGCATTTCTACCACGCTTAACAAGACCGACCGTATGGTCCTCACAACATCCTCCATCTCTGCAAGGTCCATCTCCTCTAACTCACCGACGTCCGCTTGTCTCCGCTGCATCCTGGCTCTTCTTCTAATCATTCTTTCTTTTTTTGCCTTAATCTCCCCTAAAGCCTGATGTAGTTGTGCCTCGCGATGAGCAACTCGTTGTATGGCGACCTCCTCGGGGGTCATCACTAGGGGCTGGCTTGCAATTAAGCCAGTTGACTGACTCTGGGTATGTGCAAACGTTGTCCCTACGGATCCTGAACTGCTAGCCTGGGAACTCTGTTGCGCAGAAGTGGCCATGGCTACCGAAGCTGCAGCTTCGCTTACAAACGCCCTACTAGCCTCTACTGCTCTAGCTCTCCTTTGCTGCTGCTGCCTCTCCCTAAGCTGGCGGAACATATATCTGTCGCCCTCTGGTCCTAAAGCCAAGTGGGCAATCGGGCCTCTAGCCGATCGCAGGATCCGGTAGTCCTCACTAGTGGTGTCCCTATCGCTCATATGCTACAGAACTGCACACCGTCTGCACAAGGACACACGATCGATGCCTACCGCAGCGACATGTACAGACTGATTTATAATAAAATAAAATAAATAATCAACGGCTATGTCAGAGACTATACATTCGGGTCCAGCAGGTAAGTTCAGATTCCTACAAACGAAACTATTTTTAGTTTGACTAGTTCTCGAACAGAAGGCACAATGAATAGAAAACAGTTCTAATATGTTGTCTGTCAGATGTTAATGGTTGTACATCTAACTAATCAAAACATAAAAATAGAATCATTTGCGTGGATTAGGACAATATGGAATTTTTCCCGAACTGATCACCTGAAATCTACCCCTCCCTCAGTTCCTCTTGAATGTCGCTTAACGTCAACGTCCCTGAGCCATCCAGAGAGCAGTGTGTGTCTAAAAGGTGTGCAATCGGCCCACCCCTGTGCCCCGAGTCCCACTGAGCTGGCCAGCTCTAGCACAGTCTTTATCCTCACGTGCAGCGAGCCTTACACCAATTGGCTGATCAAGAGGCTATTTTTAGACCGCCCCCAAGTGTCCTTAAGAATTATTTAACGTCGCAAACAGGACGACGATCACAACCAATGGTTTCCCCTGCCGGTGTTTATTTATAGACGCTCGGTTCTCGTTTCCCACATAGGGCTGGCCTGCCCCTCAGAACCCATCTAACAACGCAGCGAGCTGAACAAAGGACAAGCAGCAAAGCATGCGTGCTCTACTCCCGGTGGGTGGCATGGTGACCGTGACCCAGTGCTTCGTCCAGGGCCCTTTAGAAAGCTCCACCCATCTTCCCCCGGATGCTCCACTTGAACATTGCCGACTCTCAAGGTTGAGCGCACTCGACTCCTCACAATGAGAGGACTCTCAAGACGAAACACACATCCTCACAGTAAGAAGTGTTGAAGAGGGTAGATAAGGTTAAGAGCAACGTACCTCAAATAGCTGCCCCCAACCACAGAGATAATCTCACCAGATGACCTGATGCCGATTGTGATGACCAGTCGTTGCTTCGGCACAACCAGCATTACACGCCGTTCCACCTCAGCACCAATCCCACATCAGATAGTTCTCATCACACCGTCCAGAACCCACATTACACCGCATAGCCTTCCTGTCGATACCCCTCACCTCANCTTCCTGTCGATACCCCTCACCTCAGCACCAATCCCACATCAGATAGTTCTCATCACACCGTCCAGAACCCACATTACACCGCATAGCCTTCCTGGCGATACCCCTCACCTCTTGGGTCTCTTATCTTTGCCCACCTCACTGGCCTGAGCTAAAACCCTGGTCTGGTGCCTGAGTTTCAGGGCAGGTCGATCTGACGAGGGCCTGAAAATGGCCCTCAGTTTCAGGCTGAAAAGACTCAGGGCCAGAAAGGCCCTGATTTAGGCTGAAACGACACAGGTGCGAGGCACAAGGCCTCGATAAGCCCCATTGGGCCCTATATGCAACGGCGTCGGCCGCCCTAAGTGAAGGCAGGCCCGACAGACCCTCAGAGGCCTATTTTGGACTACTTCGCAACTGGGGAAAATTCAGGCAGTTGTGCTGCGCCAGTTGGTTGGAAGCGCCCAGGCCCTGGCTTTCTTTATCAAATGCATCTGAGTCAGGCCCCGGGCGAGATTCGCAACATAGGCCCAACCCAGGATGCGGGCAGTTGGGCACAGGTAACTGTCGGCAGCCCTGGGCTAATTCCTTTGGTCTGGGCCTCAGCCTACCGGGGCCTACCGGAAGCTTCTTGGGAAAAGCCTAGCGCAGCATGAGACAGAACGCAGGCAGGCTGCTTCCATAAAGCAAGGGGCCTGCCTCCGCATGGGACATATCGGGTGCTGGCTGCATGCTGTGCTGAAGCTGGCTGGCACTCACGCGCTCACGGGCGAGCAGGAAGGAGCAGGCAGCCATAGCCGAGCTGCGCTGCTGTAAGCTGGGTGTGGCGCAGAGTGGTCCTTGGGTGCAAGTGGCATCTGTGAGTTGGGGAACGAGGTTGTGGGCGATACGAGAGACATACCTGGTCCTAGAAGCAACGGCATTGCCCGAGATCTGCTGGTACTTCGGTGAAGCTGTTGTTGTCATCCGGCGGCATTGTACATTAGGCTAGATAGGATCTGCCATCTGTAGTCTGGGCGCCGAGCGCCAGATAGGATATCAACATTGGTTCAAGACGACCTTTGTTTGAGCTTCAACCCCGGGTCTGGCACGTTTTGGTATTGGCAAGAGCAGCCTCCTGGACGGGCCAGCACTATATAAGACTGGCCGCCCTGCAGGCTGCAGGTAGTTCCTAGGTATTTCCCAGGCACTCACGTGGAGTTCAGGAGGCTTCAGCTGGAGGAGCGCTGCAGGAGTAGTAGTAGTGCTAGCAGTAGTCTTCAGCGCTGGTCGCTAGGAGCGTTAGCTGTAGTCTTCAGCGCTGGGCGCTAGTAGGAGCTATAGTAGTAGCGGAGAGAGAGAGAGAGATTGGGCGGAGGGCAGGGAGACTTACCTGCAGCGCCATAGCTCCAGCTTCGTCTTCGAGGTACCTGCAGCACAGCGCCAACTTCACAGGTTAGTGCGAGGCACAAGGCCTCGATAAGCCCTACTGGGCCCCTATTTGCAACAGCGTCGGCCGCCCAAGTGAAGGCAGGCCCGACAGACCCTAAGAGGCCTATTTTGGACTACTTCGCAACTGGGGACAATTCAGGCAGTTGCGCAGCGCCAGTTGGTTGGAAGTGCCCAGGCCCTGGCCTCCTTTATCAAATGCATCTGAGTCAGGCCCTGGGCGAGATTCGCAGCATAAGCCCAACTTAGGCTGTGGGCAGTTGGGCATAGGTAACTGTCGGTGGCCCTGGGCCAATTCGTTTGGTCTGAGGCTCAGCCTCCCTGGCCCTACCGGAAGCTTCTGGGCAGAGGCCCAGCACAGCCAGGCTGCACGCATGCAGGCTGGCCATTTTCCATATAGGAAAGGGCCAGCCCACGCTAGGGGCATTCGGGCACTGCCTGCTTTGTGCGCAAGCGCTGCTGCGCTATCGCCTGTCAGGCTCACGCTCTCACGGGCGAGCTGGAAGGAGCAGGCCGCCATAGCCGAGCTGCGCTGCTATATGCTGGATGGGGCGCATGGTGGTCCTTGGGTGCAAGTGGCATCTGTGAGTTGGGGAACGAGGTTGTGAGTGATACGAGAGACATACTTGGTGCTTGAAGCGTGCGGCATTGTCCGAGATCTGCTCCTACTTCGGGGAGTTGTTGACGTCATCAGCGGCATTGTAGAGTAGGCTAGATAGGATCTGCCATCTGTAGTCTGGGCGCCGAGCGCCAGATAGGATATCAACATTGGTTCTTCGTTGATGATGGTGATGAGACTATTCCAGCATTGTCAATTATGAGCTTTTGGTGTGCTCTTATTTGGTGAAACTCATGATGGAATTCTGCGTTTGGTTCGAGGTCACGACTATCTGGTCTCATGTGTATGATGTTGTTTGATTGTTGAAGTTCGTTGTTGCTCACCTTCCTTGCAATTTGGTATCAGAGTTGTGGTTCGGTGCGCTAATCTGGCACTTATCTTCTGCCTAATGCGGTACATGCACGCGGTGTGTGCGCTGAGCGATCGTGCCGTGGGAACCCCTTCCACAAGCTGCCCCACTCCTTTACCTCTCCCTTGCTTGCCTTGTCTTTCTCCTTCCCTTACTTGTTCCAATGCTGCAGCTCCCGCTTGCCGTTCCGCCAGCGCTTCCGCATTCCCGCAAATTTCTCTCTCTTCTCAAGTGGCTCGGCCTCTCTTTTATAGTGAAGAGGCCGGGTGATCGGGCAAGGTACAGCAGTCCTTGGGCTAAAATTAGTACAGGCCTGTGCTAAAATTAGCACAGGCCTGTGCTAAAATTAGCGCGGGACTGGGACAGTCCCGACTTTGGGACACGAACAGTCAGTCCCATGTTAAAAATAGCATGGGCCTGCGCTAAATATAGCGCGGGCCTGTGCTAAAATTAGCGCGGGACTGCGCTAAAATTAGCACGGGACTGGGACAGTCCCGACTTTGGGACA